GGGGGGGGGGTGGCTCCTGCTGCTGTGCATGCCCCAGAAGGACATGGGGGGGAGGGAGGGGGATCTGTGCCCCCAGAGCTACACTGGGGGGTGGGATTGGCTGCAGCTGATGGCTGAGGCCGGACTGGGCTTTTCCCACACGTGGGGGCTGTGCTCAGGGCGGATGGCAGCAGTGCTGGGAAAGGGGTTATGGCGGAGCCATGGCAAAATTTGGGGTGGCTGCAGACCCCTCCATAACCCCCATCCCAGAACCACTGCCATCCACCCCAAGCACAGCCCCAGCCCAACCCCCTCCCCACGCACCAGGAAGACTGAACTCCGGCCCCAGCCTACAGCTAAAGTCCTTCCCCTGTGGGGACCCACCCTCACCCCTCCATGCCCTCCTGGGGTGAATGCAGCAGCACCTCCCAGATGAGCCGTGGCTCTGTCCAGTGCCCCAACCTGCCCCAGCTGGGCACTGCCTACCCCAGCCCCATTCCTCCCTCACTGCAGTGGGCACTGATCTGCTCCCCCCAAACCTTTTCTCCCCGCTTCCCCTCCCCATCCACCATAACAGACTTACCAGCTGCACGCAGCTGTATCAGAAATCAGATCGGTATTGGCTGGTATGCTTCCTTAAAAGTCAGCTATTGGTCTCGGCCCCCAAAATCTCTATTGGTGCACCCCTAATAAACAAATAGCCATTGCACACAGTCATATGCACGCTCTGATAGAGGCCATCCCCGGGACCAGTCATAATGTCAGTCCGCCCACCTGTCTAGGGCAGTCTGCCCTGACTTGTCTGCCACACCTTGATGTATTGGGAAAAAAAAACAGAAGGAAAATGCAGGAGGCTGCCTATTTAATGCCCTGATGCCAAGGGCATAATACACGGCTCTGACCTCCCCTTTACCATGACTCACGGATGGCATCCAGAAATTACTTCCAATTTCCCCAGCCTTGTTGCTGGGCCACACTCGGTAACTGGCCCAAACTTGGCCTTAGGCATCCTCAGGCATACCTTGGCCCAGCCTCTGACCCAATTTGGCCTCATGTGTCCTTAGACATAGCTGGGCCATGTGCCCCCACTCTGGGGCCTCTACTTGTGCCAACTCTCTAGGTTCTTTGCCTCTCATTAGGCTCCTTGCCTCTCACACTTTGCCCCCTCACTGGGGCCACTGCTCCACCTTCTCACTGTGGCTTTGGGCTTTGCGCCCCTTGGGCATCAGGTGTCCATTGACATGCCTGGACTCCACTCTTGGTCTTCAGCCCACTCAGGCCTCAGGTGCCTGCTGACATACCTGGACCCCTAACTCAGGCTATGGCCCACTTAAGCCTCAGGTGTCTGTCAACATACCTGGACCTCCCTGTCGGCCTCTCTTATTCAGGCCTCTCCACTAGACCTCACTCCTATTCAGGCATTGGGCCTGGGGCCCTCCTGGCCCATGTTGCCGCCCAAGGCTCACTTTCTCAGGCCCTGGGCCGCAGGCCCTCCTGGCCCCAGTGTTGTTGCCCAAGCCTGGTGCTTTTCTCTGAGGGTGTGCTCCCCTAGCCTTTCCCCTCCACAGAGTCACCTACAAGGCAGCAGGGGCTGAGGGTTTCTGGTGCTCCATATTTGCCTTTCACTAAGGAAACACTGGTGTGGCATTTCCTGGGGACTGCCCTGCCACAGGCAGCCCCACTACACCATCTAACTCCAGCAAGGTGTAGTTTTAGGTCATTCTCCAGGACCAACTGCAGGCCTACCTGCCCTGGACTTTCCTCTCCTTGCTGAGCTCCTGGATGTTCTTCCTGGGCTATTCACTCCTGGGCACTCTGTTGCATCCTCCATCTCAAAACATGCCCTCAGTCACTGGCCCCATCTCTCTGACTCCCTTATAAGATTCCTTCCATCACACGGGTGGGCTTCAG